CTAAAGTACAAGTCAGACATATGTGATGCGTCCAGTGTCTGGTGGTAGGGTGTGGAATGTGCCGTCTTCAAGAAACAGTCTAGAACCACCATCATGGAAATTCTTGTTACACTAAGTTCGTGGAAGTCTTACCACAAAGTCCATGCTAACGTCTACCCATGCTGCCTCTTGTACTGATAATGGAGTATACAATTTTGCATTTTTCCCTTTGGTCGTTGTCATATGGAAAACCTTGCACTATCTGACGTATTGCTCCATATCTCCTGTCAATCAAGGATAAAAGAAGTGCTCTCTCATGAGTGTGAGAGTTTTCTTCCCACAAAATGATTTGTTAATTCTCCATTGTGGCACTCTTGAATAATGACCTCCCTCATCGAGCACTTAGGAATGCACATCTTACTCTGGTAGAATAAGTACCCATCGACTATGTTGGACAACTTCGCAGGCTACTTCTGACATTGCTCTTAGATCTCCTTGAAGTCTTCTTCTACCTCATTCAAGTTCCTTACAATCGCAACACCCACAACTCGAGTCTGCATTGACGTGATTAACAGGCGACGACAACTCAGTGCATCTGCTACGCAGTTCTTTCTCCCTGTGTTTTGCTTAAGCACGAACTCGAACGATGTTAAAACCTCCACCCAAGTGGAGTGTCGTCACTTCCGTGTGCTTTGGTTGCTTAGAAATTTCAAGGCTTCGTGATATGTAAACAGCGTGAATTTGCTTGTCAACATGTAATCACTCTAGTTCTCAAGAGCTCTTACAATAGCATAAAATTCCTTGTCGTATGTTGAGTATCTCTTTCTGGAATCATTCAGCTTTTCACTAAAAAGGCGATGAGATGACCTGCCAAGCTCAGCACCATCCCTATTATAAAAATCACTAAAGATGACTTCTTGGCATCACAAATAATTTTCTTACTCTTTGCTGTTCATCTTATATTTTTAACAATTTTCTAAGCTTTTACGTTTCAACCAATTTTTATAACAAAATTTCTTATATTTTATCTTTCCTTGCACATTATTTTTTCACCATCAATTATTTTTATTTATTAAAATTTTCTCTTTTAATTCTGCAAGTCATCTTATGTCACTTGTTTAATAGTGAGAGTTATTTTATCTCACATTGAATTAGCATTTTTATGAACATCCTAATTCTTAAAATCTTGAAGTTTGGTCATAAAAATACTTTTTATTTGTCTTTTAAGTTTGCCCACCTAATTCTATGATAATGTTTCATTGTGTTTTTTTGAAACTCTTTATCTTAAAATAAAAAATTAACAATCGATATTACATACTTAAATTTTCATTTGGACCGACCATACAATTTTTACATTTTCGACAATCTCTTTTTCTCATAAAAAATAATCAATTTGAATTTTATTAGATCTATCACTACCGTTGCCGGTCCCAAGCCCGGATGAGAAAAGTGGAGGATTGCGTTAGGTAGTCGACAGCCAGCGTAAAACTTGTCGAAAAAATCATGACATGAATCCTTTTGATCATTGTGTAAGTGCTAGGGCGTCCCCTGGAAGCGACGCGTTGTATAGCCTGAATACAGTGAAAAGTGTGCAAGGGCCGCTACACCGACGCCCGGGTGTAGTGTTAAATAAGCAAGGGTTCCCACATTACGGGCGAAATGCGGGTAAAGAAGTTAGTCCATAAAACTAAGGAAACTAATATTAGGATATGATCTTGGAATATAGACACTCTCAATGGTAAATTAATGGAATTAGTTGATATTATGATTCATAGGAAAATTAATATCTTATGTATTCAAGAAACTAAGTGGGTGGGAGAAAAGGCTAAGGAGATTGATAATGTAGGTTTTAAACTTTGGTATTCAGATAAGAGATCTTTCTTTTC